ATGGAATAAGTGTCCCAGCCCCTGCCATTTTCCACTGGAGGCACAGCTGAACAGATGGACTGAACATTTGTGAATTTTTAGGTTTAGATTATGTGGTTCATTGGTGAGCTAGCAATTTTGAGGGATGCCCATAAAGTTATAATCAATTTATATTTTTATAACATCTTTAATATAATAAAACTTCTAATGGCAAAATCTGACACCCAGGCACATAAAGAGATGGCAGGTCAGGTTGTCAAAAGCTAGGTTAAAGTACGTTTAAAGAATGTCTTAAAAGGGGATATAAGGTAGTGAGGCAGAGGTGTATAAGGGGGAAATTCCTGTGTTTAAGGCCGAAGCAACAGAAGGCACAGCCACCAATGGTAGAGTGATTAAAACTGGGGACTGTAAGTGTTCAAAAATCCCACAGAATTGTGGAATTCAAGAAGTTTACAGATACAAGGGAGAGTATGGTCAGGGAAGGATTTGAAACAAGGACAAGGATTTTAAAAGGAAGCTATTTCTCAACTAGAACCTAATGAAATGAAGTGATAATAGCTAAATGGGACTTGGTAGGAATAAGGATGAGTGATAAAGTAATTGATGACCTTGTGTTTACACAAAGGGTAAGATGTGGGAGAACTACCAGCAGTATGTTGATATAGTCTAGTCTAGAGGTAACAATGGCATGAATGAAGGTTTCACCAACAGATGAATTGAGGATGGGGTGAAGTTGGTGATGATACATAAGTGAAATTGAGCGGGCTTAGGGATAGACAACCAGCGTGCCCTGAGTGGAGTGGGGATGGCCAGCTGACTGGAGGCCCGAGTTGAGCGGGGACGGTTGTTGGACTGGGGACCGGTGTGGGCAGTCAGCAGCTTATGAGCCTGATCAGACCATGTGTGGAAGCCTCCTGCATTGATCTACTGCAGGCCCTTGATTGGAAGACTGCGATGTTTATCATTTTAACTTTAGTTCTTATTTGTCTAAATTATATAATGAATAACTGTAAGGTAATGGAACTTTTTTTTAATCTCTCTATTTTGTATCTAAGATTTGTACCTAACTGCTTTGTTGGACATTGTAAACTTTTCACTGTACTCCTGTACTTCTGTGCTTGAGTACGCATGACAATAAACCTAATTCTAAATTCTAAAATGGTGCATGGCACCAGAGGTAACAGAGAGAGAACAAAAACTAAGTATTAGTCCAAACATCTAGAACTCTCCTAATGGAAGGTCAAAGAGGCCTGCAAGTTTCTAATTTTCTCCCTACAGTGGTTTTAGGGATCATCATGGAGATCTTTTGCTTAAAAGGGTGGCACAGTGGCTCAGTGGTTAGCACTGCTGCCTCACAGCGCCAGGGACCCGGGTTTGATTCCACCCGAAGGCAATTGTCTGTGTGGAGTTTGCACATTCTCCCCGTGTCTGCATGGGTTTCCTCCGAGTGCTCCGGTTTCCTTCCACAGTCCAAAGATGTGCAGACTGGGTGGATTGGCCATGCTAAATTTCCCGTAGTGTTCAGGGATATGTAAATTAGGTGGGTTATAGGGGGATGGGTCTGGGCAGGATGCTCTGAGGGTCGGTGTGAACTTGTTGGGCCGAAGGGCCTGTTTCCACACTATATGGATTCTATGATCTTCTGGATGTTATTTTTTCTACATGCCAGGCCAAGCAAGGAGTAAGACTCTTCTAAAACAGCTTCTGAAACATGCAAATAATCTAAACCTAAAAATTCACACATGTTCAGTCCATCTGTTCATCTGTGCCTCCAGTGGCTAGTTACACTGCCCACGTAAAAATAACCTCCAGTATTTTTGTGGCAGTAGTATTCTGACCCATTTATTGGAAGAGTTAAATTATCCACATGGTGATCGATTAAATAAAATGTTTGGTGATGAAAAATTAAAAGCAGCAATGGAGACAAAAAAGTGACATAACTAGTTCTGCCATCATATATTTTAAAGGATAACATCAAATACTGTTTAGGGAGAGATATTTTGCAACAGTGCTTCAAGTAATGTGACACAGATTTAGGTAGATTTTCCCCAGGGCATATGGTGCAACAGGCCTTTGAATTATTTCTTATTGATATCAGTAAAGAGGGACATATAGCTCATGCAGGTACACTCCCTAGTGGTGTTTGCCCCAGAGAATCCATGGAATCTGCTAGGCACCAAGCAAATTGGTCCTATGCAAATACACTTCTCCTCCTTAGAGTCTAACATGACTGAATACTGTGAGGTTTGCATTAAAATGCACATCTCTCTGCAGGTATCAGGCAGTAATAACTATAACCAGTGTCAGAAGTGGAAAGTTTTGCCTTCCATTTTTCTGCACAATTGAAAGCCTCAAACAATCGACTCACAGGTATTTGCTGTTTTCAGGTAAAGTTCTAATTTTCTTATCTCACACAACCATTCCCAAGAATGTTTTCTTTGACATGGAAACTCAACATATTTCCCTGTGAGGATTATGAATAAGAACTAAACCACTTAATGCCTCTACAATATTTCTCTGAAAGGCTTAGAGTGATGTTGGACCAGGCTTCTCCCTATAATGTGCACTTTGTCAAGAGATAAGAATTCCTATGGACACTATCACCCTGATTTTAACTTGCTGTGGATGACAAACACAAATCAGGCTTTTGATCAGGCTCCTTCAAATGCAGGTGAGGCCTACTTAACATCTAAAAACCATGGCTTGTTGATATGATTTGTATCGCTGGAAGTAAAGGGGAGACAGATCTGAGGCTAAAGGTGTTGTGCTGCTGGTAATTATTTGAGATCAGCTGCTCATGGGTATGGAAGAAAATTTCCTAGCCATTTTCCTGACAAAGAAACCTTGACCTCCTCCATCCATGATGCCCCCAGTGCCTTCATTCTCAATGGTAGCCTCAGTAATTTTGCTTCTTACTCAACTCCGATCAAAGCACAGAGTCTTCAGCCTTCACTGGATGCCAGAATTCATCCATTAGTGTCTCTGACTGCTACAGCATTCTGTTGTCAAATGTGCTCCTGAACATTGATCTGGCACTCAATCCGGTAAACTGCTGGTTGCAAGATTGAATCAGATTTTAAAAAATTAGACCCTCTCATTGTCAGACACTGTGGATTTCGCCAAATCCACACATTCTCCCCAGCACTCTTCCTGGTAATATTCAATCAAATATGTAGTGGGATTGTCACTGAATGTGCAAAGATTGCTTCTTTATGATACAAGCTAAAGAAACTGTATGTGCAATCTGTTGTAACCTGAAATGCAGGGATAATTTTTAACTTCTGCACAATATGGATTTTAAGAATGTTGCGCTACCTGTTGAATCTAGAAAGGTTCAAATCATTTTCATGCTCAAGCCTCATCATCATAATTCTACTGTGCTAGGATCTAAGTTAATGTTCCCTCTTGAAGTGAGTTGGAGATGGGGATGGGAGTGACCATGTGATAAAGTGAGTTGGAGACCCTGTAGTTCTCCCATCTTCACTTTGATCAAGTTCAGGGATGTCACTTAAGGGCCAATTAACAGTTTAACTGGCCTGCCCTGCTGATAACTCACCCAGTGGCAGGTAAGGTACTTGCTATTTGGAGAGGCTATCTAATAGCCTAACTGGCCAACCAAAGGAACCAGCATTCAGAAGAGTGTTGGGAAGGAAGGGAGGCACAGAAAGTCACTCCCCTTGCCTTGGTGTTGAACCCCATTTTATTGGTCTGGCAAATTGCCTCCCTGTGAACCCCACCCTGCCCACAATTTCCTCTTTCTGTGGGTCCACTGGCAACCCACAAGGTGGCTCTCACTGTATATCGCTGGCCTTTATCCCTAGTGGTTCTGATGGTACCAGAGTTATGGGCTCTGATTAGGGCAAAATTATTACCCTGCTTGGGCCTTAATTGCATGGGTGGTCATTTGCTGTCCAGCAAATGCCCAATTTGAATTAAATGAAGTTGCATGTCTCAGAGAAAAGCATTCTGGGGCTCCCACTGGTTCTTCAAATGTGGGTGGGACCTTTGCTCCTTGTCTCATAAACCCAGAACTGATTTCAGAAAAACATCAGTTAACATTGTCTTCTCATTCATTATTCGAGTTAGTAGCAATGGACTTTTCAATTACAACATTATTTCAAACCTGTTCCTGTTAATATGAGTGTAGCCATTCTCTGACCATAGTTAAATGATCTTATCATTGACAACAAACAATATCATACATTTAATCAGAATATTAAGAAGTTTCATAACTAATCCATTAAAGAACATTGTGAAAATAACTTACTTTGGTGAACTCAAATCTCATCATTTTTCACATCAAAGCACCATGATTTCATTCAATGAAACCTAAACTACATGTTATGGTAGAATGTTGGTGAGCTAATACATTGTTGAGTGTATATTCTTCATGTTTTTAAGTTCAGTACAAAAATTAGTTTTTTCCAGTTAATGGTTCCACTGAGGGTTTTGCTCAATTTGCCACACATTATATAGAATAAATTAGTACGTCAAAGAATGAACAGATCCAGAATTAGGGACTACAAGGTCATATCTAGAAGGTAGGAAATGCATAAAGTTTAGCCTCAGCAAAGAGAGCAGTGGGAACAGTAAAGGATGACTGGGCGTTGTGCATTTCCAAGGCTACGCTGGTAAACATTGGACCATCAGAGGAGCTATATAAGGAAGAAGGTGCTAATTGTTAGTTTTATCACAAATATGCCTTTATCCACAATGGTCCTCTCTAGTTACCCATTAGTGTTTTTTTTTTAATTAGCTGTGGGCCAGAATTATCCTACTGGGTCTACTTTGATGACTTCATAATAATTCTTCCAAGTTATTTTTGAACCGAGTCATGCAGTAATTCTACCGATCCTGCAAAACCAAACGATGAAAACCAGTATTGCTCAGAATGAAAGGGCAATGCCAGCTATAGTCAACAGTCATTAATTTTGGTTTAAATAAATCAACAAAAACAAACTATGCATGAATAAGTAACTTAGTTGGCGGAAAGATAACTGCCAAAAATAGGGGCTACTCACCTGCCCACATGATCAAGACAGTCACAATAATGATCATCTCTCCTGTCTGCAAAGGTAAGTTCATTTCCTGGACTGTTGGGTCATCTGCAGTCAAAAAAAAAAGCACGATGCTTAGGTCACAAATTCCAGTGATCAAGGCTAACGACTAATGGATTTCAACACACTGAATAATTGAATACATTAGTAAAAAAGAACATCCTTAGAAAATTCAATACCAGTCTTAAACTTTGAGGCCCCAAAAAGGCATTATTAAATCTTTCAGGGAATGAATAATTCAAATCCAACAATATGCAGGTATCCAAACATATACTTAGGGCTGGAAATAATTTATACGTGGTATTTTATGCCTGTTAGATAGCCATTTCTAAATCTGCATCTGTAACTTACAATCCAATATTAAAATCAAGTTCAAAACATGCAATGAGGTTTTCTATCTCAACTATATTACTTCATCAAAAAGTTCCAATTTACAAAAGTCATTTAGGGACAAAGCTAGCTTTTAAAACCAAAATAAATTGGAAACAATCCGACTGTAAGCTAATTATTTCAATGGTGCAGGCAAACTTTTGATGCATTTGCCGGAATAGCAGGTTTGTACCTGAAACATTTTTTTGGCCATGCCTACAAACCCACCTTTTTATTCTAGAAACACTGCTGCTGAGAAAATTTGTTCACTCCCTTGTATCCCTGATCAATAGTATTTTCAATTTATCCCTCAATGATGAAAATCTGCCCTAAAACTTGTTTATCGGTGATTAATTTATCAAAAGGAACTATATTCAAAACTCAAATGGTTTAATTCTGGAATTCTAACTTTATTAAAATAATATCTCATCATGTCTGATTTTGTCTTAGGATCTTTGGGTACTACATTTTTAGATTAAAGGGCATTGTTGCATTTCTAAAGGCTCTACTGGTAAACGTAGGATCATTAGGGGACCCATCTAAAGAAGGAGATGCGAATTATTGGTCATATCACTGACATGGCCTTATCTACAACGGTCCTTTCTAGTTACCTATTGGATTTTCTTTAGTAGCTGTAGGTCAGAATTATCCTACAGGGGCTACTTTGATAACTTCACAGTAATTCTTCCTAATTATTTTTGAAGCTATACAGCAATTCTGCAGTCTTTGCTAAACAAAAATAACTCCTTCTGAATTTTCACTGTGGAATCATTAAAGAACTTTTAACATTTATCAGCAATATTTAAATACTATTCTGTTTTTGAAAATGATCTCTTAAAAATAACCTGTGTCAATTTGATTTATTAATCAATTTCTTGCTTTGATTGCCGAATATTAACATGTATTCCAACACATATTAAAAGTCAGAGAAGATTATCAGGCAGCTCAGACCTGGTCTGTTCAAATTTAGTGTACTATATGCACCATTTATCTGCCTATATTCCCTGTAACTTCCTGAAACACAAAAAAGAGAGAAAGTAACTTGTGGATGATTTGAGAAAAAAAATTCTTCTCTGTAAGTCAATCAGGCAAAGATCCAATGAACTATTTGAATCTATCACACCTTCTAATCACAGCTAACTAGCCAATTTACTTTCTACTGCACATTCTGCAATAGTACTGAAGACTTGTGCTTCAGAACTTGCCACTCCCCTAGCCAAGTTGTTCCTGTACAGTTACAACACTAGTATCTACCCGGCAATGAGAAAAATTGCGCAAGTATGTCCTGTGCACAAAAAGTAGGTCAAATCCAACCCAGCCAATTACTGCCCCATCAGTCGACTCTCAATCATCAGTAAAGTGATGGAAGGTGTCATCAACAGTGCTATCAAGCAGCACCTGCTCAGCAATAACTGCTCAGTGATGTCCAGTTTGTGTTCCACCAGGGCCACTCAGCTCCTGACCTCATTACAGCCTTGGTTCAAACATGGACAAAAGAGCTGAGTTCCAGAGGTGAGGTGAGAGTGACAGCCCTTGACATCCAACCTGCATTCCACCGAGTGTGGCATCAAGGAGTCCTAGCAAAACTGGAATCAATGGGTATCAGGGGGCAAACTCTCCGGTGGTTGGAGTCATACCTGACACATAGGAAGACGGTCATAGTTGTTGGAGATCAATCATCTCAGCTCTAGGACATCTCTGCAGGAGTTCCTCAGGGTAGTGTCCTTGGCCCAACCATCTTCAGCTGCTTCATCAATAACCTTCCCTCCATCATAAGGTTAGAGGTGGGGATGTTCGCCAATGATTGCACAATGTTCAGCACCATTCATGACTCCTCAGATACTGAAGCCATCCGTGTTCAAATGCAACAAGATCTGGACAATATCCAGGCTCTGGTTGACAAGTGGCAAATGACATTTGCGCCACACAAATGCCAGGCTATGCCCATCACCAATAAGAGACAATCTAACACCACCCCTTGACATTCAATGGTGTTACCATCACTAAATCCCACACTACCAATCGCTATCAGTGACTACATGAGCAGGTCAGAGGCTAGTAATACTGCGGCAAGTAACTCACCTCCTGACTCCTCAAAGCCTATCCACCATCTACAAGGCACAAGTCAGGAGTGTGATGGAATACTGCCCACTTGCCTGGATGATTGCAACCCCAACAACATTCAAGAAGCTTGATAACATCCAGGACAAAGCAGCCTGCTTGATTGGCACTACATCCACAAGCATTCACTCCCTCCACCACCGATACTCCATAGCAGCAGTGTGTACTATCTACAAGATGCACTGCAGAAATCCACCAAAGATCCTCAGACAACATCTTCCACACCCATGACCACTTCCATCTAGAAGGACAAGAGTAGCAGACAATTGGTGGAAACACCACCACCTCCAAGTTCCCCTCCCTCCAAGCCACTCACCATGCTGACTTGGAAATATATCACCATTCCCTCAGTGTCGCTGGGTCAAAATCCTGGAATTCCCTCCCTAATAGCATTGTGGGTCAACCAATAGCAGGAGGGCTGCAGCGGTTCAAGAAAGCAGCTCACCAACAACTTCTCAAGGGCAACTAGGGATGAGCAAGAAATGCTGGCCAGCCAGCGATGCCCACATCCCACAAATGAATAAAAAAATTCCTCTTCTTTCAGAAGCTTCTAAAAAGTTTTTTTTTAATAGCTAGAGTGGATCCAGAAATATTGCTTATTTGAGAGGAGGGTAGTGACTTCCAGTAAAGTAGTTTGTAGCACTGAATTATCTATTTTATTAATAATAACCCTATTATTATGGGGCGAAATTTCTTTGGTGTTCTCCATAGCTGTGACAGAAATGTGGAAATTCACTCATATGTAAACACGCACATCAGTATTACCAACCCTACAGTTGTGACCAATCCAAAGCAAGATTCCCCCAGATAGTTACAGTTCCAGAGAGGATACACCAAACCATCAAGCTCCCAGGTGATGGTGGATGAATTGGCTCCCCTTCTTTATTCGATCTAAGCTCTGGTTGGTCACAGCAATGTTAATTCAGAAAGGATACCTTCCCTTATGGATACTTTACTCCCAGATCAAATTAACTTATGCTTTTAAAGAAGCCAATTTAAGATAAAAGTTACAAAAAAAAAGTGCACAGGTCAGTCACTGTGTCATTGGTGAAGAGAGGATAGTAAATGTTATGACCATTATACAGGGGAATAACTGAGTTTTGATGGGTTGGTAGTTTTATCCTGCATTCTTTTGGCAGTGACTGTCTGGTGACTTTCAGAATGAGAGAGGCTTTTTTCCCTTTCTTTACCTTTGTAGAGATATTGAATGGCTGCTCTCAAAGCTGTGACCTTCACAGTTACCAAGTCCACGTACTAGGGCGTTAAGCCACTAACACTCAGACCAGGGTTGAAGTTCACTTTTAAACCCTGCTTTTTATATATTGCAGTAAGGAGAAAGGGCAAGGATCCACAATCATCCTTTGGTTATCTGTCCTTATGTGCATCTAGAATAGGTGTCTATTAATTTATATGATCTCTTAACTTTGGGCCTCCCCTAGAGATAACATGGTGTGGAGCTGGAGGAACACAGCAGGCCAGGCAGAAGGGTCTCAACCCGAAACGTAAACTTTCCTGCTCCTCTGATGCTGCCTGACCTGCTGTGTTCCTCCAGCTCCACACTTTGTCATCTCTGACTACAGCATCTGCAATTCTTACTGTCTCTGAGTGACCCTCCCTTAGAACTTGGTTTCAATTTGCTAATTGGTTGAGGGTGGGGTTATTTTAAACTTTTCACAAACTTCCAAAGTATGAATATTACACAATCTTATAGAAAACAAGTATGCTTTTTTGTCTTATATTATATCCATTTGCAATTTACTCTGTTGAATTCTTTTCTGTTGAAAACTTACATTTGATGCAGCTCATGCAGATCAGAGGCAGTGAACTGATTGAGCCTATCCTTTAGTTCATCAGTTCTCAGTGTGCTTGTTTCCTTTTGTACCAGCAGGTCAGCTTTTTTTCTCCCCTGAATTCTCTCTCATCAACTCATACTCATTAGGTGCCCGGATAATTTAATAACTAATTCAACTTGCCTTTTGGAATTTTGGACTCCTTGGAGCTCTTTGCTCAGAATTTCACCTTGCTGTTAATTAATGAAATGGAATTAGATTTAATATTATTAGTTGTGAATCAATGTATGAAAAAGGAATAACGCTATTCTCAGAGACAGTAAGAACTGCAGATGCTGGAGTCAGAGATAACACTGTGTGGAACTGGAGGAACACAGCAGGCCAGGCAGCATCAGACGAGCAGTAAAGTTGACGTTTCGGGTCAAGACCCTTTTTCAGAAATTGGGTGGGGGAAGGAGCTAAGAAATAAATAGAGAGGAGGTGTGGGGCTGGTGATGGTAGGTGGGATGCTGATGGGTGAGTGCAGGTAGGCAGTGGTGGGGATTAGTCAGTGAGGTGGGAGGGGTGGATAGGTGGGAGAGAAGATGGACAGGTTGTGTCAGGTCAAGGAGGTGGGATGAGAGGGAGGGTTGGCCATAGGATGAGGCCGGGAGTGGGGAGATTTTGAAACTGGTAAAATCCACATTTAGGCCATTGGGCTGTAGGCTCCCAAGGTGGAATATGAGGTGCTGCTTCTCCAGTTTGCGGGTGGCGTCTTTGTGACACTAG